ATATGACGAAGGCAATGTTAGATTACGTATTCGCTGTGATATGGTGCCCGCATTACCTCACGACAGAGGAAGAAGGGCATTTCCCAGGTCTAGCAACCTTGAAGTAAAAGATTACATATCTTAGCGCAGTTCATTCGTCCTTCCGTGTATGGTCACATTTTGTGGCAGAGACAAAGGTAATAAGTTGAAGAAAGTTAGTCCGGCTTCCAGTGCCCTTCGTGTGACTGGTCTCTTCTCCCACACAAACCGTTATAACTCCCATAATGACTTGCTTAAAGCTGTCAACTATTCTCAACTGGTCACTAGGTAATGTTTATGCAATCAGGATGCGACTCTTTTGATATGCACACAGCATTTCTTTGTAGCAAGCTGTATAACCTGCTTTAGGACGTTAACCTTTAGGCCTATCAGCAAAGGGTAAATTACCTATGGTCGGCCATCCAGCGGGGTCTTTGCTTTCAGCATCTTCGTGCTGATACAGACGGACACCTTAGAAAGCTTCATATTCACTAGAGAATCAGGTGAGATAAGAAACAGTTGTACGGAACGGATTTTGGAATGGTCCGTGGTTTCAAAAATGCCAAACTAGATAACAGTATGATGTGTTTTACTGCCCCATTTTGTTCGTTCTCTTGTGGAACTTGACGAAACATATCATTCGATTGCCTTGCTACACTGACGGACCGTTGAAGAACACTAGCCTATGCTACAATCAACCCTCACTTTCAAAAGTATTGACAGAGCAATTGCAAGGCTAACTGTTTGGTGAGGGTCGGATCAAAACTGAACCCTGTTAGGGGCGACTACTTGCATTCTGAACTCCAAATTCTTTCATATTCTAAGGCGACCATAGCGTGAAAAATTTTCACATTTACTACTTTTTGAGTGTCTAGAAAAAAGGGGCATCAATGAAATGTGTTATAAGTACTTAACAGTGACACATAATTATCCATGGATCTTCTAATTATCTAAAGTCTTGGTTATAGAGAGTAAGCTGTTTCGTTCCGTCCCACCAGCTCTAGTGAGTAGTCTATTCCGCTTAATAATCATCTTATTTTATCAGCTAGAAACACATCGTTTATATAGGAAGAAACAATCATTGACGTCAGTCGTTGCAACGCATAAGTAGCCTGTCCTCTTATTGGTTGATTGATCACACGACCAGCTGCCATTTGACGGGAATCCGTTCGCGTCTCATCGATTCGCTGCATTGTCATTCGAGCATCCGCTGGCACAAGCACTGACTTGGATTCCGGCCAGGCGCTGACATGCCGATTACTGACGGGACATGGCTTGCTATCGACCATGAGTCAGCCCATACCCTGCACTCCCATTATCATCATCCGTGGTGGTGGAATCCTTTCAGGTCCATATGGTATTAACTCATTAGTCATGTTTGCTTCACCGAAGAAATATCATTTCCGCTATTTTGACTGATGTATACGCGGTGAAGATACCAGAGTGTTCTTGGTGTAAAAACGAATATCTTATTTGCCAAGAGCGTTTCTGTTTGCCTTTGAAGTACTAGGTCTTCTGAGGTACCCATGAAATTGAACAAATATTCCACAACTCCTGTTCGTCCAAATGATTTGTTTCCTATTCAATTAGAACCAATCTAGTAAAGGAGTTGGTACTTATCTGAAATGACTCAGTTGTCGTATTTGCAACTAAATCATGCATTTTCATGAGATTTTGCCTCTTTTGGGTAACGAAGGGATGAGCACATGTTCCATACACTAAAGAGGGGTCAAACTACCTCTTGAAAACCTGCATTTGTGTGGTTTTCTGATGGCCTATCCTGGAGAATTTCCAAAAACCAAGCACCAAAAAACGACCTACTCAACGTCGTCTACTTACAAACACTTTTCGAAGATAGACATTTTCTTTGTGTCTCGGTCTTACCCCCACGAATTTCTCACCCCTACTCCTAGCACAAACCGGTGGATGGTGGCAGATTTTGATCAAACCCTAGGTTCAAATGTGTATTTTTGATTGTCAAAGACAAACTAAATCAGCGCGAAATATACCAGTGAGTGAGACAGCTACAAATCTACTTTTGGGCAATAAACTCAACAAAATATGACACAAAATGATCTTGGGAAATTCTCTGTATACCACAACGATGATGGTGTTGGTGATGGGTGACTTGTACACAACGTAAAATCATGCTGAAAAAAGATCTGAGGAAACAATTGATAACCAATCACACATGAGGCAATGTGGGAACGTATTATGTTAAACGTAATCATGAAAACCAAGAGAGAAATACAGAGTGATTGAATATATTCCAAATTGGGTACAACGTTTTGTGATGCAATCAGGGTCAGATCAAATGCATAATGACAACGTTCGAAACCATAAGATCCCGTCGTAGGCCGTCGCTCGTCATCTTCTGATGACGCAACATCCAGCTGACCGAAGCACTGCGTTTCGGGTCATTCACGTGGCAAAGAATACCAGGCGTTTGAGGTGTGTTCAAACCATTGCCATACATTGATGGAAACCTAATATTGTGTCAGCGGAAACAGTTCTTTGTTCATGTGTCTTTACCATGGTGACGTAACTTGACTATTGAAATTTCCCCAATATATTTGTTCTATAGAACTTATATAAACAGTATGGTTGTGCAGTGTGCACCATGTTGAGATGCAGCGAAATCGTCCCGGACATGAATCGTGCAATGTTGCAACTGTGGCTTTTCTTTTCAAGATTATTTCGGGAAAAGCATGCCTAGATTTCCTCAGATCTCGTCTCTCGAAATCAACCATTAGGTCTCTCGATGACCTTATCAGATTGAGATGTAAAATTGCCACGATTCGAGTTCGTATTAATTTTCTGGAACAAAATGTGTCCGTTGCAACAGATACCCGATTACGTTTTGCAAACGCTTACGGAGGAATAAGATCTGTGCTTCTACCAGGAATTTGAGACGTTTGATGCGATGTCAGATTGATGATTATAAAGAAAATCTAACGACACTTCAGACCACGTGCATCGAATGATCAATAATTCTTGACGAACTGAGCCTCGTTAGCCGAATCAAATTTACCAACTTGTGCATGGGAAACATACGAAAAGCCAAACTTTGTACATTCAACAAGCTTCACAATTCCATCGTTCACATGTTAGCCGAACCAAATTGTCCGAAACAACGAGAGAAGTTTGTGAACAATTTGTCATCGGTTGCACGAATGAACTTCAACTACAGGCTCTTTCGTGTGGTCTTCGTTGGTGCATCCCACCGAGTAAAATAAACAGCAAAAAGACACAGGCGCAATTCGAATATCTATTCGAACAACTACAAATAGTCAAACCAACTTGAAACGATGCGGAGACTTGGTTCAAAGCAAAGCTGATTGACTTGGAACGACAGTACCGGATGACATCGTCCAAACATAAGTCACTCTTCACGCCTGAGCACATTCACATCCGCCATTGAAGAGCTACAGTTGCGACCTGATTTGTTACTTTTACGCCCTAACAAGGGGTCCGGAGCAGTGCTGATCGATCAGAATGATTAAGAGAAGAAGATGGAAAGTGTTCTTCATGATCCCAGCAAGGTTGTACTCGAAGATGACTGTGAAGACACTGAAGAACTAGAACAACAGTTATCGACAGAAGTACAGTTTCTACTAGAAGGACACTTCATCGATGAAAGCACAGCTCACCATCTGAAGCCAAAAGGAACTCAAACTGCACAACTGTATGGTTTACCGTAACTACACAAACCCGGAGTGCCACTTGGACCAATACCACTACTACTACTACTACTACTACTACTACCACCACTACTACTACTACTACTACTAATATCTATATATCTATCCATCTATCTATCTATCTATTTATCTATCTATCTTTATATGACAAATTCACCACAAAACGAATTGGCCAAATGGCTGGAGAAATTGCTCGAGCCAGTTCATAAATCAATGGTCAGACACACTATGAAAGACAGTTTCGAAGTAGTAAAGCTTTTGGACCAGATCAATGTGAAAGGGAAACACATGGCTTCATTTGATTTCCAATCACTGTTTACGAATGTTCCCGGTCGGGAGTTCATATGTATCATCTGTGACCATGTGGAGCAAAACCAACTGAAAATCGGTATACCAGTATCAGTTCTGGTTAGACAATTACTACTGTGCACAACAAACGTATCGTTCTCCTTCCATATGTTTCGATAAATATAGGGGAAATTTCCATAGTCAAGCTACGTCACCATGGTAAAGAGACATGAACAAAGAACTGTTTCCGCTGACACAATATTAGGTTTCCATCAATGGTTGGCAATGGTTTGAACAAACCTAAAATGCCTGGTATTCTTTGCCACGTAATTGACCCGAAACGCAGTGCTTCGGTCAGCTGGATGTTGCGTCATCAGAAGATGACGAGCGACGGCCTACGACGGGATCTTATGGTTTCGAACGTTGTCATTATGCCTTTGATCTGACCCTGATTGCATCACAAAACGTTGTACCCAATTTGGAATATATTCAATCACTCGGTTACGTATCTGCCGCTCTGTTCGACCCACGTAGGTTGCTCCACAACTACACTGAAATTGGTAAATCAGATTCGATTTGGTGAACAGAGGTGGACGTTGTTTCACCGACGGTGTGGGGATCTCAATCGTTCGATGAACAATTCTGAGGTCAGCTGCATAATATGTTCGGGCAAGCGCTGATCTAAGTGGTCGTTTGAGCAAGCAATTGATGTCATCACGTTTGAATGGAAGACAACTGGTGACTAGTAGATTTTCTGCTGAACAATTCGTTTGTCTGATCAATTGAGGCTTGCTGTGCCTTTGAAAAACGCATCGGGATAAGCGTTTCCAGTCAAAGATTCTTTCAGCTGTCGTAAATCGTATATTCGGATGCAGGCGATCGAGTTCATCCATAATCCATGTTGTCTCTTATAGACTTATTGTGATGACTAGAACATGATCAACGTATCGCTTGTAAAGTTGTGAACGTTGGATGATTTTGCTCGCCTTTTTCTCAAGATGAGCCATAAATAGATGTGCCAGAATGGGACTCAATGGATTTCCACATTGGGACACCGTCAATTTGTATGTAAGCCCGACCAAGGAAGGAGAACGATACGTTTGTTGTGCACAGTAGTAATTGTCTAACCAGAACTGAGATTGGCATACCGATTTTCAGTTGGTTTTGCTCCACATGGTCACAGATGATACGTATGACCTCCCGACCGGGAACATTCGTAAACAGTGATTGGGAATCAAATGAAGCCATGTGTTTCCCTTTCACATTGATCTGGTCCAAAAGCTTTACTACTTCGAAACTGTCTTTCATAGTGTGTCTGACCATTGACTTATGAACTGGCTCGAGCAATTTCTCCAGCCATTTGGCCAATTCGTTTTGTGGTGAATTTGTCATAGAAAGAAAGAAAGATAGATAGATAGATAGATAGATAGATAGATAGATAGTAGTAGTAGTAGTATTAGTAGTAGTATAAGTAATATTGGTCCAAGTGGCACTCCGGGTTTGTGTAGTTACGGTAAACCATACAGTTGTGCAGTTTGAGTTCCTTTTGGCTTCAGATGGTGAGCTGTGCTTTCATCGATGAAGTGTCCTTCTAGTAGAAACTGTACTTCTGTCGATAACTGTTGTTCTAGTTCTTCAGTGTCTTCACAGTCATCTTCGAGTACAACCTTGCTGGGATCATGAAGAACACTTTCCATCTTCTTCTCTTAATCATTCTGATCGATCAGCACTGCTCCGGACCCCTTGTTAGGGCGTAAAAGTAACAAATCAGGTCGCAACTGTAGCTCTTCAATGGCGGATGTGAATGTGCTCAGGCGTGAAGAGTGACTTATGTTTGGACGATGTCATCCGGTACTGTCGTTCCAAGTCAATCAGCTTTGCTTTGAACCAAGTCTCCGCATCGTTTCAAGTTGGTTTGACTATTTGTAGTTGTTCGAATAGATATTCGAATTGCGCCTGTGTCTTTTTGCTGTTTATTTTACTCGGTGGGATGCACCAACGAAGACCACACGAAAGAGCCTGTAGTTGAAGTTCATTCGTGCAACCGATGACAAATTGTTCACAAACTTCTCTCGTTGTTTCGGACAATTTGGTTCGGCTAACATGTGAACGATGGAATTGTGAAGCTTGTTGAATGTACAAAGTTTGGCTTTTCGTATGTTTCCCATGCACAAGTTGGTAAATTTGATTCGGCTAACGAGGCTCAGTTCGTCAAGAAATATTGATCATTCGATGCACGTGGTCTGAAGTGTCGTTAGATTTTCTTTATAATCATCAATCTGACATCGCATCAAACGTCTCAAATTCCTGGTAGAAGCACAGATCTTATTCCTCCGTAAGCGTTTGCAAAACGTAATCGGGTATCTGTTGCAACGGACACACTTTGTTCCAGAAAATAATTACGAACTCGAATCGTGGCAATTTTACATCTCAATCTGATAAGGTCATCGAGAGACCTAATGGTTGATTTCGAGAGACGAGATCTGAGGAAATCTAGGCATGCTTTTCCCGAAATAATCTTGAAAAGAAAAGCCACAGTTGCAACATTGCACGATTCATGTCCGGGACGATTTCGCTGCATCTCAACATGGTGCACACTGCACAACCATACTGTTTATATAAGTTCTATAGAACAAATATATTGGGGAAATTTCAATAGTCAAGTTACGTCACCATGGTAAAGACACATGAACAAAGAACTGTTTCCGCTGACACAATATTAGGTTTCCATCAATGTATGGCAATGGTTTGAACACACCTCAAACGCCTGGTATTCTTTGCCACGTGAATGACCCGAAACGCAGTGCTTCGGTCAGCTGGATGTTGCGTCATCAGAAGATGACGAGCGACGGCCTACGACGGGATCTTATGGTTTCGAACGTTGTCATTATGCCTTTGATCTGACCCTGATTGCATCACAAAACGTTGTACCCAATTTGGAATATATTCAATCACTCTGTATTTCTCTCTTGGTTCTCATGATTACGTCTCATGGGTGCCTCATGGGTGATAGGTTATCAATTATTTCCTCAGATCTTTTTTCAGCATGATTTTACGTTGTGTACAAGTCACCCATCACCAACACCATCATCGTTGTGGTATACAGAGAATTTCCCAAGATCATTTTGTGTCATATTTTGTTGAGTTTATTGCTCAAAAATAGATTTGTAGCTGTCTCACTCACTGGTATATTTCGCGCTGATTTAGTTTGTCTTTGACAATCAAAAATACACATTTGAACCTCGGGTTTGATCAAAATCTGCCACCATCCACCGGTTTGTGCTAGGAGTAGGGGTGAGAAATTCGTGGGGGTAAGACCGAGAAACAAAGAAAATGTCTATCTTCGAAAAGCGTTTGTAAGTAGACGACGTTGAGTAGGTCGTTTTTTGGTGCTTGGTTTTTGGAAATTCTCCAGGATAGGCCATCAGAAAACCACACAAATGCAGGTTTTCAAGAGGTAGTTTGACCCCTCTTTAGTGTATGGAACATGTGCTCATCCCTTCGTTACCCAAAAGAGGCAAAATCTCATGAAAATGCATGATTTAGTTGCAAATACGACAACTGAGTCATTTCAGATAAGTACCAACTCCTTTACTAGATTGGTTCTAATTGAATAGGAAACAAATCATTTGGACGAACAGGAGTTGTGGAATATTTGTTCAATTTCATGGGTACCTCAGAAGACCTAGTACTTCAAAGGCAAACAGAAACGCTCTTGGCAAATAAGATATTCGTTTTTACACCAAGAACACTCTGGTATCTTCACCGCGTATACATCAGTCAAAATAGCGGAAATGATATTTCTTCGGTGAAGCAAACGTGACTAATGAGTTAATACCATATGGACCTGAAAGGATTCCACCACCACGGATGATGATAATGGTAGTGCAGGTTCAGTTCGCTCCTCTGCCCTACCACGAGTACAAGCTCATGCACCAGTTGACACCCAATGACATAAGACTATAAAATCTACTGATTTTAAACCTAATTTATGAAAGCTTATGTGAGGGTATGGGCTGACTCATGGTCGATAGCAAGCCATGTCCCGTCAGTAATCGGCATGTCAGCGCCTGGCCGGAATCCAAGTCAGTGCTTGTGCCAGCGGATGCTCGAATGACAATGCAGCGAATCGATGAGACGCGAACGGATTCCCGTCAAATGGCAGCTGGTCGTGTGATCAATCAACCAATAAGAGGACAGGCTACTTATGCGTTGCAACGACTGACGTCAATGATTGTTTCTTCCTATATAAACGATGTGTTTCTAGCTGATAAAATAAGATGATTAATAAGCGGAATAGACTTCTCACTAGAGCTGGTGGGACGGAACGAAACAGCTTACTCTCTATAACCAAGACTTTAGATAATTAGAAGATCCATGGATAATTATGTGTCACTGTTAAGTACTTATAACACATTTCATTGATGCCCCTTTTTTCTAGACACTCAAAACGTAGCGTAAGTGAAAGTTTTTCACGCTATGGTCGCCTTAGATTATGACAGAATTTGGAGTTCAGAATGCAAGTAGTCGCCCTTACCAAGGTTCAGTTTTGATCCGACCCTCACCAAACAGTTAGCCTTGCAAATGCTCTGTCAATACTTTTGAAAGTGAGGGTTGGTTGTAGCATAGGCTAGTGTTCTTCAACGGCCAGTCAGTGTAGCAAGGCAATCGAATGATATGTTTCGTCAAGTTCCACAAGAGAACGAACAAAATGGGGCAGTAAAACACATCATACTGTTATCTAGTTTGGCATTTTTGAAACCACGGACCATTCCAAAATCCGTTCCGTACAACTGTTTCTTATCTCACCTGATTCTCTAGTGAATATGAAGCTTTCTAAGGTGTCCGTCTGTATCAGCACGAAGATGCTGAAAGCAAAGACCCCGCTGGATGGCCGACCATAGGTAATTTACCCTTTGCTGATAGGCCTAAAGGTTAACGTCCTAAAGCAGGTTATACAGCTTGCTACAAAGAAATGCTGTGTGCATATCAAAAGAGTCGCATCCTGATTGCATAAACATTACCTAGTGACCAGTTGAGAATAGTTGACAGCTTTAAGCAAGTCATTATGGGAGTTATAACGGTTTGTGTGGGAGAAGAGACCAGTCACACGAAGGGCACTGGAAGCCGGACTAACTTTCTTCAACGTATTACCCTTGTCTCTGCCACAAAATGTGACCATACACGGAAGGACGAATGAACTGCGCTAAGATATGTAATCTTTTACTTCAAGGTTGCTAGACCTGGGAAATGCCCTTCTTCCTCTGTCGTGAGGTAATGCGGGCACCATATCACAGCGAATACGTAATCTAACATTGCCTTCGTCATATTCCTTCGTGTTTTCATTTTTAGTCATCTTGAATGCCGTGCCGATGAAATATGCTTTATCGGGCCTAGAGCTTGAAGCATTGAAAGTAAGCCTGTTTGTTAATTGACGTTCTAATATACGTTAGACTACGACTTCAAAGAAGACTGTCACCTTTTTAGTTTCTTCCCAGGGATAAACTATAAGCTTCCCTCACTACTTATAACCCAATTTTCCAAGATGTTCATCTTTTCAACGGAAGGGACAGATTCCATGAACATAACAGTTGACGGTATATTTAGTGGTTGCAGATGACCACTTTGAAATCGGGACTTGGATTAGTCATATACCAGTCAGGAATTGTCACAAGTGTTATCTTCCTTGGAATATGAACATGGGTAACATCTTTCAGGTCAGCCACGAGCTAAAGATTCCAAATACGTAGTACAAACTTTGCAACGCATTGATTGAGGGCTTGAATTTAGAGTTTCTATTTCCAAATCTTTAGCACGACGACCTTGCTCAAACAAAACTCAGAACGTGTGGATATACCCTAGGGAATAAATATTTCGATTACTGATAGGTGCGTATCCTTTCTCATTTAAGGAGAACTTATCCAGCATGGAAAGCAAACATTTCACAGACAGACTAGTTTACAATTTGTCCTGCAGGTTCACAACAGTTTACCATTTATAAAAAAAATCATTTTTAGTTTAAGGAAATTGCACTCGGGTTGATGAACATACCTCTTGGAATATGACTGTTTAGCTCTAAACCGCGGACCAGAAAGAGAACAGTGACTGACATGTTTGCTCAGCAAGTTTGAAACTGACAAACAGGATGATAATATTATTAGACTTATTTTGCTTAATATATTGCGCTATAACGAGCGTATCCAATAGAATCGTGTGTGCGAATAATCACGTGAACGATAACGGAACGAATGATGTTTGCCGTTAGATCGTCTAACGACACACTCCGTTCAAAATGACCCAGGGAAAGGCAGTTCCTCTGCCGTAGATTTATGTAATTTTCACCTTCGTTTTTCAAGCTTTCATAGTAAACACTTGTACACACCCACACCCGT